AACTCAACTCAAAAATGCTTTCGCATCTATGATCTCATTTTATCTCCACGGTAGTCCTATAAATATGTATGTGAGAAGTACTATTAGCTTTGTGTTTCCAGTGGAAGAATTTAGATAAACTCCCCAAATGCTCGTTTACTAACTTAGCAGTGTTTATTTTCTATTTGCTTTGTTTTCTTGGCAATGCGATTATACAGTAGAATCTCATTATAAAAAATAATGCCTCCCATTTTGCTAATATTTAGTTTGATGTTCCACCTTTGAAGAATTTATCATTTTTACTTTATTCTTTCCCTGTACCAAATAGTTAATGTTAAAATGTAAAGGACTTTGGCCACTGCTGCTTCTGTTGGAAAGCTGAAGGAGTGGTTATCTGTACTATTTACTTGCATTGAACTTTGTCAAGGACCAAGAGAATCACTCTTGAGGGGGATTGAAAGAGAACATAAGAAACTGTAATCATACATCAGGCAATAGATAACCAGAGTTCCTACAGAGAGGGCTGACTCGAGGAAAATGTGGATATATGGTATTATTTTCCTCGGTAAGAAAGTGGCAGCAGGCCAAAAATTCAGAGTGGAGGACAGAGCAAGGGTTGATTGATCTGAAAGCAGAAGAAAGAACTGCTTTGCCCTGAATGGGGAAAGTACACTGCTGAAAAGGGTGGGTTCTGGAAACAGAGTGCCTGGGTTCAAATCCTGGTTCTACCACTTATCAGCTGTATAACCTTGCTTAAATTACTTAATCTCTCCAAACCTGGGATTCCTCTTCTATGAGGGATGAGGATAATAGTACCTATTTCATAAGGATATTGTGAGGATAAAATGAGCTGGGAACTGTAAAGCTCTTAGAACAGTACACATGGGAAGAGCTTGATATATATCAGCTGCCACTATATTATTATTATTCATTGTCAACCTTTCTGTCACCCCCTGTTCCAAGCCACCCATCATCTCTCACCTGGACTAATTAAAAAACCTTCTCATTGGTCTTCTCTCATCTATTCTTATGTCATTTCCAACTTGCTCTCCACCTTGTAGCTAAGGCTAATCTTCTAAAGTTAGAATCTCATCAAGTTGCTTCTTTGCTTGTAACTTTTCAGTTATTTCCTCTTCACTTAGAATTTTAGTCTTTATGATAAAGTCCAAAATTCTTAGTATGGATTCCAAGGAACTACTCCCTCTAGCCTCAGTTTGTGCTGACCTCTGTAGTACAGCCTCATGGCCCCTTTTGTAGACCCCTAATTGAGCCATCTTCTGCCCACCTCAGGGCCTTGGTATTAATATATTTTAGAGAAGCAGTGCTTTTTTTCCTCATCTTGATGTTGTCTTGCTGGTGGAGGGATCTCTATTTGGGTGACACTTCTCTTTCCACCCCTTTGCTTACTTTGTAGTGGAGTTATTTATTTGATGTGTCAGTCTTAGAGGGGTATCTGGGCCTCACCAGCTCAGCTCTGCCATCTTCCTCTTGGAAGCAAGCTGCCTGTAGGGAACGGGTATTCTCTGATACTCTGATACTCCTCTACTCCTTTCCCATGACATGAGAGGCCTCCCTGCTCTGGAATTGCCCATGACTGTGTGGTTAAGTCTACCTCATCATGGGGTCAGTTAACTGGTCCACCTGGTAACAAAATAAAGCCATGACTTCCAGCCTGGCTTCTTTCAGCACTGAAGATGCTGTTTGGATTCTCCAGATGTACTCCTCTCTCCTTGTTCCCCTCCTCTTCCTTCTCCCCTTCGTCATTTCTTCTGAATTGGGATGTCTCTAGTGGTCCATGGTGGCAAAGTCATGCTAAGAGGATAGAGGTGAAGATCTTCTGTGCTGTATCATGGAATGAACTGTACTAAAATCTGACTGTAAGCCAATAGGCTGGTTCAATGAAATGACTGAATATTTAAGGTCTTACCTACACTCATATATCCTTGGATAAGGCAGTGGAAATAGAAACACTTTTTCCTTTCGATTGAAAAAGAAAGGTAAATGGGTCCACAGACACTCCAGGAGGGGGAGCCCTCGTTCTTTGTTCCCAGGCATAGCTATAAGGGTTTGCATCATCTGTGACTAAGTCACACCAGAGCCAAAAGAACGTCACAATCATTGCTATATGTCAAGTTAAACAAATAGGAGAAAATCATCACAGACCCCTTTGGCATTATCACTTTGTCTTGCACAATTGTCTTTTCACCTGTGTGGGATTTCAGTTTTGTGGGAGAGTTTCTTTATAATTCCTGTCATGGTTTTGAGCTTCCCAGCAGATGTTCCATCTGTCCTTTTACAAGATACAGGCTTAACCTCATTTTAGTTTCAACTTAGAAGAAAATATAAAACAGAAATATGTGATTTTTTTTTAGTTAACTGCTTTTTCTCCTTAGCTTTCCTCCTCCTATTTTCTCCAAGTTCCTTCCTCAGAAATGTTTCATGATTGACAGTTCTCATAGCCTCCCTTCCAACCCAGACCTCGAGTAGATAGCTCTCTGTAAAAGAGTCATCATCAGCTTACAGAACAATTTTCAGTACATGACTATGTATCAGACCACCTAAGCTGGGAAGTCTTTGCTTGGCACCTTTCTTATTCTCCCACAGCTTGTTGTGCAGAGCTAGACACACTGATTCCTGGTAAATGTTAAAAATGGCTATTTAAGGGGCACCTGGGTGGCTCAGTCAGTTAAGTGACCGACTCTTGGTTTTGGCTCAGGTCATGATCTCGGGGTTGTGAGATGGAGCCCTGTGTCAGGCTCTGCACTGGGCATGGAGTCTGCTGGAGATTCCTCCTCTCCCTCTTCCTCTACACCTCTCCCAACCCCCAACCACAACCACTCATGCTTTCTCTCTCTCTCTCTCTCTCAAAAAAAAGGGCTATTTTAACAGGTGCTCATATTTTCTTTAATAACAGTAACAATGATTACTGGAAGTGTTCACTTAAAATAAGTCATCAACTAACCTCAGTTTTAAAATATGAGTGGGTGGAAAATCTCTGGGCATATTGCTTTAGAATTTCAGCAAGACTTATCACCCCAAATTTTGCTATCTTTGTAGAGAAGATGGAGTTAAGCCTCATGGGAGTATAGTTACATGCATTTATAAATGGTTAAATAAAGCTGAATATGTTTTATATAAACAACTGAAAAAGATGTTAACAATCTCTGGAGAGGTCTCTAGTAGTTAGCCATTGTTTTTTAATTTTAATTTTAATTTTTGAAGTGAACATAACCCTAAGATTTTATTGTCTTCATAATATAACAAAATATGAAGCTTAGAACTGGATCACTTGGCAGTTTCTCTTTTTATCTCCTATCAGTTCAAAATGCTCATGCCCATGGGGATGGGGGGAGGGGTAGAGGGAGAGAGAGAATCTTAAGCAGGCTCCATGCCCAGTACAGAGCCCCACATGGGGGCTCAGTCTCACAACCCTGAGATTATGACCTGAGCCAAAATCAACAGTCAGATGCTCAACTGACTGAGTCACTCAGGTGCCCCTGCTTGCATCGCTTAATAGCCACCGTTCCCTTAGATCTGTAGTTGGGGTCAACATATTCAAGCCTCAGCACAGTCTTTGTAGTTTTAGCCTTTGCTGGAAAATCAGCTCAGTCTGTCCACCACAGCCACTCTGCTTCCTGTCATAACATTGCTTTCCCTGGACATAAAGAGAATCTGCCTTTCTTATACTGTGTCACTTTGTGGGGTTGGTGCTTACTACACTTCTTGCAGGAAGTCCAGTGGTTTTAGGCATGTTCACCATGTTTGCGAGAGCACCATCAGCACAGAAACCTATCTTTTTTAATTAAAAATTTTTTGGGGGGTCTTTATTCATGTCCTTTGCAATGTATTAGTCTATAGCTTTGGAAGAAGGTATAAAAGGCACATGTTTGAAGATTTTTGATGGCAGAAAAATTTAATAGTTAAAGATGGTATATTCAAAATTAGTTTTATCATTAGATTGGTATAATAGGAGTATATGAAAGATCTTGCACATCAATATTTAAAAAAAATCAACCATAAATTTTAGGAAGGGGAGACCTGATTTCATAGTGATTTATGAAGAAATGATCTGGAGATTTTAGTTCATCCAAACTCAATCGACAGTGAGATACAATTGCTAAAATGCTGATGAAATTTTAAGGTATGTTAATACAGTAGTCCAGAACACACAACATCAAAGTCTCTACTGTACTTGGCCTGGTTGAATCAGATCTGCAATATGTGTTTGGTTCTGTGCAGCATGTTTTAAGAGAGATGCAGAGAGGTTGGGATAAATCTAGAAGAAACTGATCAGGAAGAGATGTCTATTAAATAAGTCATGGAATGGCTGAGGGGTTTGAGAAGGCCTGAATCAGAGTAGAGAAGATTTTGGGAAGTCCTGTGAGTGGTCTTCAAATATTTGAAGGTTTCCAACATATAAAGGGCTTAGACTTGGTGTAGGTGACCATGGAGATGGAATTTGGCACGTGGTAAAAAGTTACAGGGAGGCAGATTTGGGTTTCTCATAATAGACCTTTCTAGCATTTCCAAATCTGAAATAGAAATAGGCTGCTTCGTGAGGTGGTCAGTTTTCCATCACAGAAGACTTTCAAAGACAGGCCTAGGATCCCTTTGCCAGAGTTATCTAAAGGGTGGGAAGGTGGACCAGATAATCCCTGAAGTTTCTTCCAACCTCACCGGCCCCAGCATAAACTCAGTGTCTGCATACAGTAGGTGCTCAAGCAATATTTGCCAAACGAATGAATGCATAAGAGTAAAATATCTCAGGGGCACGTATTGTACTTGATACATTTTTAAATCATGGATGATTTTATGGCACTGGCTAGTGATTTCACCTATATCAGGAGAGTGTCATCTTGGGAAAAATAAAGACCTTGGGCCAAGAGAACTTAAAATTTTCTAGATAATTGGTTAATCGGTCTTGTTCTGGCATAATTAATGTTTAGCCTTGTAAGTTTTAGAGCTATCTGATAATGAGCAATGCCTTGCCCCAATCTAACATGATGCTTTTTCTTTTTCAGGATAATCGTATCCACACATCCAAGTACAACATTCTTACCTTCTTGCCAATTAATTTATTTGAACAGTTCCAAAGAGTGGCAAATGCCTATTTCCTTTTCCTTCTGATTTTACAGGTAATGTTTAGGTTGTATTTCTTCATCATCTGTTTGTTAAAAGTATTCGTATAATTTGAAAAAGCAAGCTAATTCACTCAGCTAAATGTTCATGATTAGGTAAAGCCATTCTTATCAGATTTCGAATGTTATTTTTGCTGTTTCTTTTCACAAATGTGGGAGGGTTAGGTATGGGTAAAAACTAGTGCATTCATCATTTTAAACACTGAGGTCATTTTAGAATGCAGCTATGTACTTGATTTGAACCAAACCAGAGCCTAATAATTACTGTCCATAGCCTCCCTCCTTTCTTTATCTCCTTCTCGAGTTCACAGTGTGGGTGTGCCAGAGTTGAGGCAGTCTAGCTGAGCGGTAGTTAGTGGAAACTAACTGGGCAAATTTCATTTGCTTTTAAGAACAATGGCATCTCATATATATAATAAATGATGTATGCTATATCTTATTTCACTGTAAAGTGGCTATTTTTTTTATAGTTTTTGGTGGTTAATTGGTAGTTAATAAACTTCCTTTTTTCTCCCATCTGACTAAACTAGGAGCTTAGATGAAATTTCAGCTTTTACTGATATTTTAGGAAATAAAATGCATAAATCAAAGAATATACATAAACAGTTCATGAGAGCTGGTTATTTACCTAGTATTTATTTTAGAGTAATTTAATCAGACCAAAGTGGTACATTCAAAATGTGCGGGGCTCTGTGTTAATTTTAGAAGGTAAAAACATGGGTTAGATAATGCACAGTTCAGACTAATAGCTGTGAATACTATTTTTATTTAATTGAATATTTGTATTAAGAATCTTTCAGTTGTAAGTGTCAGAAACCTAAATTTGTTTAGGCAAAAAGGAAATATACTTAGGAATATATCTCATTTCATGTATGACTGGATTCATGGACAAACTATTTCATTAGGATGTGGCTTCTCTTTCGTCCATGTTGGCCTTACTCAGGCAGGTCCTCTCTACCTGGTGGCCCCTGAGAGCTTCAGGCCTTTATTCTCCTGGATTCAGTCCCAACATTGAAGAGAGAGAGAGAGGGAGAGAGGAAGAGAATGAATCTTTTTTTTTTTTTTTTTTTGGTTGTTAAAGACAATCTTGCAATTAGCTCTCATCAGACCATGCTGAGTTACATCACTATCCATAAACTAATCCTGGTGGCTCAAAAATTTGCAGCAACAGTTGTCTTGACCTAGATGACATGCCAAAATGTGGAGCCAGAATACAATGAGTCTGCCAACATTGTATGTACTGACAGTACATACAGGGGTGAGATAGTTTCCTAAGGTATACTTGAGAAGAAATGGGCACTGAACAGGCACAACAAAACAAAACCACAACAGAAACCTCACAGTTAATGTATACCTTACAATTTATTGAAAAGACTTTGGAATCCAAGATTTCTTACCCCCCCGCCCATGAATTTACTTTTGGTTTCATTATATAACTCTTTATGTCATTCCAGAATTTTGAGCTCATTTCTCTGATGGCTTTCTGTGTATAGTCAAAGGCTCTTGCTCACAGAATTTTATGTCTGGAAGGAGCCTTTGGGATGGTTTAGTCCAGTCTCCTTTCTTCTGTTGATCAAGAAATGAAACCCAGAAAGGTTAAGTAATGTGTAAAGCTTTTACCATGAGTCAATGATAGAACTAGGACTAGAATCTAGCTTTTTTGCCACTCAGGCCAGTGTTTTAATTGGTATCTCAGAGGTTTTTGAATTTTTTTCTTAATGTTATATGGAAGCTATTTTATAAGATTGATTTAGTTTAGAGCTGTTTTTGTTGGGGCTTGATCTCCATGCTGACCGTATCCACCTCACTCTTTCCTACCTGATGGCTCTGAAGCAGCTCCATATCAAACCCCATTTGAAAACCACCTTTCTCAATGTGGTTTTGATTTGAATTTCCCTGATGGCTAATGATGATGAATATTTTTTCATGTATCTGTTAGCCATTTGTATGTCTTCTTTGGAGAAATGTCTGTTCATGTCTTCTACCCATTTTTTGACTTGATTATTTGTTTTTTGGCTGTTGAGTTTGAGAAGTTCTTTAGAGATCTTGGAAATCAGCATTTTGTCTGTAGTGTCATTTGCAAATATCTTCTCCCATTCTGTGGGTTGCCTCTTTATTTTGTTGACTGTTTCCTTTGCTGTGCAGAAACTTTTTATCTTGATGAAGTCCCAAAAGTTCATTTTTGCTTTTGCTTCACTAGCCTTTGGAGATGTATCTTGAAAGAAGTTGCTGTGGCCGATGTCAAAGAGATTATTGCTTATGTTCTCCTCTAGGATTTTGATGGATTCCTGTCTCACATTGAGGTCTTACATTTAGAGTTTATCTTTGTGTATGGTGTTAGAGAATGGTCGAGTTTCATTCTTCTGCATGTGGCTGTCCAATTTTCCCAGCACCATTTATTGAAGAGACCGTCTTTTTTCCATTGCGTATTTTTTCCTGCTTTGTCGAAGATTATTTGACCAAAGAGTT